TAAAAAATACTTATGATTACATTAGATGTAAATGATGTAAATAAACTAAGTTACAGGTGGACAGCATGGATGACATGATCTAAGTCAGCTTTGGTCTTACCAAAAAAATGCATATATAGTCAGGTTTAGAATAAGGAGTCGAAGCCGGGCATGGCGGTGCCCACCTATAATCCCTGTGGCTCAGGGGGCTGAGCGGGGAGTGGGGGCTGAGACGGGAGGATCACGAGTTCAAAGCCAGCCTCAGCAATGGCCAGGCACTAGGCAACTCAGTGAGACCCTGTCTCTAAATACAATACAAAATAGGGCTGGGGTGTGGCTCAGTGGTGGAGTGCCCCCGAGTTCAATCCCCAGCACCAAAAAAAAGAAAGAAAGCAAGCAGGGGTGGCTATACTAATCCAGATAAACCATTCTTTGAGGCAAAGGAAATCACTAAAGATGGAGAGGGACACTACCTAACGATGAAGGGATAGTTCACCCAAGAAGGTAAGAATCCTAAAAACGCACTCAACAAAACTGTGAAATACAGGAGGCCTGTAATCCCAGTGACTCAGGAGGCTGAGAAAGGAAGGTGGCGAGTTCAGGGCCAGCCTGGGTAACTTAGTGAGACCTTGTCTCAAAATAAAAAGAGCAGGGGATGTAACTCAATGGTAAAGGACCCTGGGTTCAATCTCCAGTGTGGGGGGAAAAGGGACGCAAAAAACTGATCAAATGAAAACAAAAATACAATATAGTGTCTACTTCAACATGGCTTGTCAACAAGTGAGCCAACAGTGGTATGAGGAGCCAGCAAGGACTCAGAAGACACTCCACAACACCATCAACCACACACAGCACACTCGGTGTTCCAGCATCTACAGAGACACTCAGCAAGACAGCCATATCCTGGGCCATAGAAAGTTGAGCAAATTTAAAAGGATTGGGGCCATATGGACTGTGTTCAGCAACCACGATGCAAACTGAAAAATAACAAAGGTTACAAGAAGACCTTCAATCATGAAAACTAAAAAAGGGCAAAACTCAAATCAGTAACTGAAAATTTCACCTTAAGAAAGTAGACAACGAAGAGCAAGACATACTCAGAGCATGAAGAAGGAAGGGGGAACCGAGAACAGAAATCAACAACATTGAAAAACAAAACAATTAGAGAAGATCAATGAAATGGCAATCCATAAATTGATGAACATCTAGAAGAACTGATAAAGAAATACAGAAGACACAAATGATCTGTTGAGGGCTGCATGGCATTTTTGCCAGAATGTAGTGGTTGAGAGGTGACACCAGCAAGCCATTGAGATGATGATGGTTATGTTAAGCTGTGTGTTCAATTGTGTATTAGACCCCTGCTGTCCACCTCGGCCTGCTACTTTGGAGTTCTCCCCGGGGATTCCTGGGGAGTTCGAGTTGGTTGGGGAAGTGCCAGAGGAGGGATTTCCGGAGGAGGGATTTCCGGTTGGTGGGTGGTATGTCTGGGAGAAGGCCGCATGCGTGGCATTCGCGGGAGTTCGGAAATAACGTTTGTTCCTGCTTGAGTGGCTCGTGATTTGTGCCCAGCCAGACTGCGGCAATGATCAATTTAGGAGGAATAAAAGTACAGACTCTACAGAGATTAAAAAATTGGTAATAAGTGAGCCAGTGTGGTGGCCACCCCTGTGATCCCACTCAGGAGGCTGAGGCAGGAGGATCCCAAGTTCAAGGCCAGCCTGGGCCCCTTAGTGAGACCCTATCTTAAAATTAAAAAAAAAAAAAATGAAAAGGTTAGGGAAGTAACTCAGTGGTACAGTACTCCTGGGTCCACTCTCCAGTACCAGTAATAGCAACAAAACACTCTGTACATACACATTTGATGCCCTTGGTGAAATGGACTAACTTCTTGGAAAGCACCAACTACCCTGCATGGGAAATAGATAAGTTAACTAGGTGTCCTGTAACCCGTGACCATTAAAGAACTAGGCTTTGATGTCAGAGTTCCCAAAAAGGAAACTCCAGGCCTAGATTCTTTTAAACATTTAAGGCAGCATTAACACAAATTCTACACAATATTTTACAGAAGATAGGAAAAAAGATAATGTTTCCCAACTTGTTTTATGAACCTAGTACAATATTTATATTCAATCTGAAGAAGATAATATAAAGAAAATAAACTTATAGACTACTATTCCTCATTATAGAAACCGAAAATCTAACAAAAGACTTTGACAAATAGCATTCAGCAAATTATAAAAAGAATTATACCCCATGACTAAGGGGAGTTATTCCAAGGATCAAGGCTGGTTCAGTATTGAAAATTAATCAATATCAATAGACTAAAAGAGAAAAATCACAAGAATTCATCAGTTAATGCAAAAAAAATTGGCAAAATTCAATACTTGCTCATGATAAAAACTCTAAAAAAAAGGCATGAATGCAATCTGATAGAGAACCTCTACATAGATCCCAGCACTTACATCATACTTAATGGTGAAAGCAGAATGATTCTCTGCAAAAATCAAGAACAAGGAAAGTGGGTGGGGTTTGGTGAACTGCCTGCCTAGCATGTATGAGGCACTGGGTTCGATTCTCAGCACCACACATAAACAAGTAAAGTAAAGGTTCATTGGCTCCGTGGGCTCTCTTGTCCAGCGAGGAGGTCCACCGAACAGGGTAGAGGAGAGTGTGGCTGCGGAGTCGCTAATCAAGACCTCCGGGGGCCAAGCAGGACGCAGGTCTGATTTTACTGTGCAGTTACCCTGTACACACACTCAGGCAGTAGCTAAGCTGATTACAGGAAGCCACCAATACAATTTATGGCCAACTGTCCTTGCAGCGACCAATTGAGGCACGGGCTGTGGAGCAAGTCCAGGGACTGCCACGCACGACCTCATGCTCAGGGCTATCTGTGTCTACAGCGTAAGCAGTTTGCCGCTCACATGTGTAGCATGGGGGAGCAGTTTGCCACTCAGACGCCCTTAACATATGCCATGTATTAAAAAAAAAAAAGCGAGGATGTCTTCTATCACCACTTTCATTCAACACAATGTTGAAAATCTAGCTAGTGCAATAAGACAAGGAAGGTGTGGGGGAGGCACACAATTGGGAAGGGAAAAGTAAAACTAATCATGCAGATAGCATGATTATCTGTGTAGAAACTTACCAGTAACCTACACACATAAAAACAAAACACTGGATAATTGAGTTCAGCAAGATTGCAGGATACAAGATAAACATATGAAAATCAATTGTATTCCCATATTCTAGCAATGAACATTCAGAAACTGAAATAAAAAATGTAACCACTTATCATCATTAAAATATTAGACATGAACCATGTATAAGACTTGTATGATGAAATATTCAAAGCAGTGGTGAAAAAAATCAAAGATCTAAATAAATGAAGAGACATATCATGTCCATGGATTGGGAGGCTCAAGTCTCCCCAGATAATTTGCTGGTTTAACATAACTCCTATCAAAATTTCAGCAAGTTTTATTTTATAAGCATGGACAAAGTTATTCTAAAATTTGTATGGAAATGCAAAGGAACCAGGACAGTGAGAAAAGATTTGAAAAGGAATAAAATGGGTGGACTTGGTATGTTCCTCTTTGAGACTTGCCACACACAGCTTAAGGAAAAGGGACTGGTGTTGGTGGAGGAAAGGACACGGTGCTCATGTGGCAGAGCCCAGAAGTAGACCTGTGCTCTCAACAGCCCCTGGCACTGGGGTGGAACCCAGGGGTGCTTACACCCTGAGTCACATCCCAGACCTTTCTATTTTTTATTTTGGGACAGGATCTGCCCCCACTGCAGATGCTCACCCTTGTCCCTCCTCGAGCAGCACCTCCTAGTCCTTACTCCCCTGTGCTGGGGATCAACCTCTGACACTGTGGTGTTTTATCATGGGATTTGCATCCTGTCTACACAAGCGCAAAGTCATTCCTCACCAGGACTGCTGGACCTGGACTCCACCCTTCCTCCCCCAGGCTCTGTGCCACCAGCCTGTGAGATGGCTGAGCGCTCCCTTGCTGGGGTCCCCTGGAAGGCCCCCCTCCAGCCCCGCTCTGGGCCATCTGCTTCCACACCAGCTTTGCCCATGTGGCTGTCCCTGCCTGCACACTCCCCTTCCCACCAGGCAATCCCAGGGACACAGAACATCTCTCAACCCTGGTCTCCTCTTCATATTTGCCCCACGGAGGCCCACGTCACCTAGGAAACAGACTTCTGAGAGCACCTGCTGCCATGGCCTGGAGTCCAGAGCAGATAGGGAATCTGCAAGAAGCCGGCCACGTGGTGGAGCTCCGAGCCCTGACCTCTAGATCCAAACCCAGAGCTTGACACAGACTGGCTGTGAGGTCTCCAGAAAAAGGCGACTTCAGGGAGGCTTCCTGTTTCTGTTCTTCCTACTGTAACACCTCCCTGTTTTGAGTCTAGTTTTAAAAGAGCCAGTCTATGTGAAAACTGCCTAGGGCAGTGACAGGCTCAGACCCAACGGGTCAGTGTCTGTGCCATGTTCCTGACAGTGACGGACAGTGGGGTTGGTGCTGGCTCTGTGCAGCTGACCAGGAAGGCCTGTGCCCAGTGCCTTGGCTACTCCTGACACTTCCTGGTGCCGTGCTGAGCCACAGATCAGACAGCTACTGTGTGAAGACCAGCCTAGCCAAAGAGCCGGAGCCACGGGTGTGGCCGAGCAGCAGCTCTCCCTCGCAGCACCTCACTCACCTGGGGGCTCCTTTTATTCCACCAAAAGCATTTGACTTTCTATACGCATAATAAAATTCAGAGTCACCTTGAGACCAGGAGGGGATTCGTCACATGCTGTGAGCCTCCTGTGTGTCCTGGGGATGGGTGGTGTTGACCAGCAGATAGGATCCTCCATTCTCCCTCACCTGTCCTGAACAAGCAGCCTGAGCTCCTGTGGGGCTCACACCCAGACCCCCTGTCCTAAGCCTATGAATCCAGTCTTGGCAGCTCAGCCATGGTGTCCTCTGTGCTCAGGGCCTGGGTCTCCCCAGACCCCATGCCCTTACCTGTGTCTGGAGAAACAGGACTCGCCAATATCACGCCAGGTTTTGGGGCGTCAGGGTAGCAGGTACTTTCCAATCTTGGTCTTGTCCCTCAAATGTGCTCAGCACACCCTTCAGCTTACTCCCTGTGGATGGAGAACAGGGTCTCACAGGCCAGAGTGCCAGCCAGGGCTGTGGTCTCGCCTGAAGGCCAGCTTGTGCGGCAGTGCACAGGAGGGGCGTCCTCCACGTGGGCCTCTCCACAGCGCAGTTCACCACCGGCCATCTTCCCCTGGAATCTCACTTTGTGCTCCTGTTCATTTTCTAGAATACGAAGATGCTCAATGAGCTCTGATGTGCTGTGCTGGGGACTGGACTCAGGCCTCGCACACTAGCTGGTGCTCCACCACTGGGCCACCGCCCAGCCTTACCCAAGGGCCTCTGTGGTCTAGTGCCTCCCTGAAGGTTTTGGCGGGGGAAGCCAGTCCTGCTGCTCACTCATCGACAACAACCCTGTGGCTCCTTTTTTGCGTTTTGTATTTGAAGAGAATCAGCCTGTCCCCAGGGCCTCCCTGCTAGGAATCAGCACTTCTGTCCCTGCCATGTTGCTTCTGTCACAGGCCCACAACTGTCACTGGCCTGTGCCTGTGACTCACCTGCTGCAGGGGTGGTGGGGCCTGGACCGTAAGACCCTGAGAAGTCTCTATCTGAAGTCCAGTGAGCCTGGCCATGAACTCCAAGAAGGCAGGCTCCCTCGGCCTCTTCTCCTCAGGGGCCTCGCTCCTGTGCCTGCCTCACGCCACGCAGGCCAGCTCACCTCTCCAGGTGAATGTGGATTCTCAAGCCCTGGCTCAGGGTTGCTGTCCTGGGAGCTCCTGCGCGGCCTGGTCCCCGGGCTCTCCGGTCTTGTCAGAGGCCCATGTGCTCAGCTCCACGCTGAAAGTTTGTGGTCTCCTCCTGCTCCTGCAGGTCTGTCATGGTGGCCATCGTGTGGCCATCACGGGTACACTGAAGTGGACATCGACTTTCCTTTACCTCCTAGGCCATCTGCAGAGTAGGCTCCACTAACCCCCTGAGTCAGAATGTCTGCCCTTCCAAGGGCATGGTGAAATCTGACAGGGCAGATTTCATGGCAGGGACAGATAGGCCTGCAAGGGGGCCAGCTGCACAGGCTCTGCCTGGGGAGTGCCTCAGGATGGGTGGGCTGTAGGACAGTGCATCCAGGCCCTTGATCCCACTACGGGCCGTCTCTCACCCTGGGCCCTGTGGGAGAACAGGGCACCTGTCCTCACCAGAAGCCAGTACCTGGATCTTGAACTTCCTGCCTCCAGAGCTCTGAGTCTCAAAAATGCCCTGGCTGGTGACACTCTATCACAGCATGGACTAACCAAGAACACTTCTGGCTCACTGTGGGTCTGTGTGGGTCTTCTGCCTCATTCCTCAACCAGGAAGCTGGGCCCTGGATGTGTCAAGTGACCAGACAGAGCTGCTGTGTCCAGAGTACTGTCCACCTGCAGTCCTCCTCAGATTCCCTGCATGCAGCACTCAGTTGGCAATCACCCGTGAGGAGATGACCTCCTCTTCCCATCCTGTGGCTTATAGAAGGGATGTAAGATGGGTGGATGTTCTCAGTATTTGTACTTAAAGAATTTTTAGGTGGAAAATGTGGTAATTCACATAACAGAGTACTATTCAGCCTTAAAAAAAATGGAAATCTTGTCATTTGCAATAACAAGGATGAACCTTGAGGGCACTATGTTATACATATTAGTTTGCTCTTGCTGCTAGTAACACAATGCCACAGACTAGGTAGGTTATAAAGAAAAGAGGCTAATTTTGGCTCACTGTTCTAGTGATGATGGCTTCTTGCTGACAGAGTCCGTGGTGGCTCAGGTGCCACATGGGATTCATGGAGTGGGTGTACGTCTCCTTGGTCCCTTCCCCTTCTCACAAGGCCATGGGGGCTCCACCCTGATGGTCTCATCTGATTTTAACCCCCTCTCACGGGTCCCCACCCCCAAGCGCCAGGGTCAGGTTGTTCCCACCCTCTGTGCCTCATGAGGAAAGCAAACTCTAAGAGAGTTTCAGGGCCATAGCAGGGTATGAAACGAGCAGACACAGAATGACAAGTGCCATGTGCCCTGGCTTATGTGTGGACTGCAACAATCTCGATCCCAGAGAAGTGGAGTGGTAAGGTAGTAACCAGGGACTGGGGCGGGGTAGGGGGACACATCAGCCAAAAGATACAAAGTTTCAATTAGGAGGAATAAGTTCAAAAACCTATACCACAACACCTGAATACAATGTATTGCATTCTTGAAAATTGCCAAGAGAGCCGATTTCAAGAGCTCTCACCATGAAACAAGGCAGGTACCTGAACTAGTTGGATTTAGCCAGTTCACAATACGTGCATATTTTCAAGCCACATGTTACACATGCTAAATATATACTATTTCTATTTGTCAGTTTAAATAAATAAAAGTTTAAATGTTAAAAAGTATCCAGGTCTTCACCTGCTTTTGCTCCCAGCCTACCCTGTGGTCAGGCGTCAGCCTACCCTGTGGTCAGGCGTCATCCCACGGCTTTCCCTTTGCGTCCACATGGCAGACTGACCAGTTCACGTGTACCTTCCCTTCTCAGCATCTGGACACTGGACTCTGAAGCACTGGTGTGGTTCAGACCTCTGGCTGCATGCCAGTGGCCCTGGAGACCTAAGGCTGCCTTCACTGTTGGAGCCAGGAGTCAGGACTGTGCGGGGCCAGTGAGGGTCAACAGCAAGAGGGCCCAGTGGACACCAGTCATATCCTGGTTCCAGTTTCATGTCAAAGAACTTGTGATATTTTCTTCTAAAAGGGATTCTCACAAATAATTAAGTTGAATTAAAGTCCGTTGGCATTGGGTCACATGAAGTAGCATTCATTCACCCAAAGCGCTAATGGTTCTTTGTAGACTGTCCCGCCCCTACCCCCCCCAAAAAAAAATCAGCCTGCCCACTTGACAAGGAGACAGGACTGCAGGCAACTCAGGATCTGAGACACATACCTCAACTCCAGGGAACTGATGATAGCAGCTTCGGCAGGTAGGAAGGCCTGGAGGGCGCGGGGAGAGGAGACAGGCCAAGGCTGTGTGTGCAGAGGCCAGGCCTTCTTCAGAGGGCAGGTCTTGCTGCTTTAGCCACCACACTGGGCAGCAGATAGAGTGCAGTGGACACAACCACAGCACAGGAAGGCAGCCTCAGGAACAGGGAAGAACTGGCAGCATGGGTATGGCCAGGGCCAAGCTGGAGCCATGACAAAAGTACTACCAAGGCCTGCAGGGGCCGCGGTGGTGTCAGGAGACACGCGTCTCCGGCCCACTTCTGTCCCGCTCATTCTCAGCTGTGCCTGAGTAATGCCTTGGAACTCCACTCCAGCTGCATTTCAAAACAAAATGAATCCTAGAGAGAGACTTTGGCTTTTGGGCTGGGGCTGCCGGCTCTGGGGAGCCCATGGCCTAGTGCCCTGCATGAAGTTGACTGCACACGTGGCCGCCCGCATGCTCCAACTCATAAGGTCCACATCAGAGCCATGGAGTCTCTCCTGGGAAATCCATGGCTTATCCCACCTGTCACAGCCCAGCTGCAACCGTAGAGTCTGGTAAGGGACGCCCTGGCACTGCTGTCCTCCTCAGCCCAGCGGCCAGTCTCTGGGCCCTGCTTTCTGTTGCCTGTGGCTGGCCTTTCCAGCTGCTGCTGGCCATCTGCCACAGCACCCTTCCACACCCATTTGCCACATGCCGCTGGCAAGAAGGCCTAACAGCGACCCACCCTTTGCACCCAATGACCACGCTCCTTGCAGCCTCTGACCCTGTAAGTCCAGTGGTCATTGGCCTCTAGCTGTGGCCTTTTCTCCTCTGCAACTTGTCTGGCTTTGAATTTCCTGTTCAGTTTTCTGGAATGTTCTTCCCTGAGGCAGCTGGAGGGTTACCCTCCCCCATCAGGTCCCACATGTTCCTTGGCACCTCACTGGCCGGGCCCACATTCCCCAGCTCTCCTGGCATCTGCAGAACTTCCTCCTGGCAGCAGCCCCAGAGCACTCAGCAGATTCTGGGGCACCTGTGTCTGGTGAGGGCAGGTGAGAGAGAGGACGAGGAGAGAAGGTGTACAGGGGGTGATCCAACACACTGTCACTGCCCCGGAAGCCAGCAGTGAGCCCCCTCAGGAACCACTGAGCTCCGAGAAGGGGAGAAAGGGTGTCTGACCGTGAATAGGATTTCTTTTTTTTCTTTTTTTTTTTTTTTTTAGTACTAGGGGTTGAATCAAGGGGCGCTTAACCACTGAGCCAAATCTCTGGCATTTAAAACATTTCTTAATAGGAGACAGGGTGTCTCTGAATTGCCCAGACTGGCCTTGAAGTTGTGATCCTCCTGCCTCAGTTCCCAAGCTGCTAGTATTATAGGTGAGTGCCAGCAGTAGGACTCTCAAGCATGATTCAATTTTCACACTATTGTTTTATAGATTGTGGAATTAACGAGGGCTGCGGTTGTAGCTCAGTGGTAGAATGCAAGCACGTGTGAGGCACTGGTCATCAGCACCACACAAAAATAAACAAAACAAAATAAACTGATATTGTGTTCATATACAACTATTTTTTTTTAATTATGGAATTATCTGAACAACATTTCAGAGTATTCAAAGTAAAGACAGAGGATCATACACATAAGCAAAATATCACCCTCTGGCATCAGAAATATTCTTAACTCCTTGGCAGGGGCAGGGCCTATGGTGACCAGGCAGGGAGGGTCTTTGCTCCTCCTAAAAGGAAAGACACATTCTAGTCTTCTTTTGTGGGCATTGGAGTCCTCTGCCATTAGCAGACCCCATTTGCTTAGGTGGAAGGCAGAACTGTGATACCTGGATGCTCCTTGGCACACACATATTGCTTGTTGAAAAGGTCAGGGCGGGGTGGGTGGGTGGGGTCCTCCCACCTTGTCCTCCCAGGTGGCAAAACCCCAGGATGGGGACAGTTTTGCCAGAAGATGACAGCTGAGCAGGGCAGTTAGGATGGATGGCCCTTCCCTAGGTGTCAGTTCCAGCTGGCCATGGAACAGCTGGAGCAGGGACAAGTGTCCTTGCCCTCTTGCTGGCCAGCAGTCCCTTGATGGTCACTTAGGTCTTCAGACAATGAGCAAAGCTTGGGCCAAAAGAAGAGTGCAGGGGGTGAGGGTAGCTCGAGGGACACCAGTCCCTGACCCAGAGGCAGTCACAGGACAGGCATTGAGAAGGTACCTCCCTTCCACATCTCTATGAAGCCGCTTCCCACCTCAATACACAGGAGTGGGGAGCAGACTCCTGGCGGCCAGGGCAGAAGAGGGAGGCACTCTCACTCCAGCGACAGAGGTGAAGCACTGTCCACAGGAAGAGCAAGGGAGTAGCAAACACCACCTGCAAAGACCTGGTGTCAAGCAGGAAGGACAGCAGCGGTCCCAGTGCAGGGCTCTAGGTGATAAGGGAAGCTTCTTCTGCATTGCAATGGGAGGGCCTAAGGGGTTCTGAATGAGGGATGGGACTGACTCTGGGGCCCTCAAGGGGTTGGAATGCTGTGGTAGGCCCCGAGGTCTGGGCAGTGTTAAGCTCTCTGCATCCAACTGGAGACAGATCTGAGGTCTGGGCTTTCATTGCTCTGGTCTTTTCCGACTTATTGATTCCTTCTGCCTTTAGGAAAGTTCACTAAGAGTTTTACTAAAAGCTCACTTACATCTGTTCTCTCATTCCCCCATATCTCCGACTTAATACAATTTGGTAGGTATTTTCAAAGCATTTGTTTTGCAAACTGCTGTCCAAATCCCAGTCCTCCTTTACTGATGTCAACCTTTCTCAATGACTTACGATTTTTTAAAAACGCATGTGTAACTAGATGAACCACAGAATCCTGCAGCTTTGACAATTTCTGCGATTTTGTTTCACTTATGAGGGTCGCCTGGCAGTCCTCTGCAACAGCCGACGTCTCGTCTGGGGCGAGGCCCTGGTTCCTGGGCTTCTGCCCTGTGCACTGGCCGCTCTCCCAAGATGGGCAGCAACCGGCCGCTGTCTCCCGGACTTCTGGGAACAACAGCAGTCGGCCATCTGAGTCCGCAGCCCGTCCGGGTCGGGCCCTCGCGTACGCCTGCAGCCGCGGCACCGGCACCTGCACCCGCACCGCACCTGCAGCGCCCCGGCACTGGGCGCAGCTCCACCCCGCGTTCTGTATGTTGCTCATTCGGTTTGGCCGGAGGCGGGGGACACGGCGCAGCTGAGGGGCCGCGGTGCCCCGGAGGAGGATGGCCGGGACAGGGGATGCGGGGAGGGGAGGGGGCGCGGCCTGTGGAGGGCCAACACGGCGGGGCACCGCCGGGTGGGGAGGCGGAGGCTCGAGCGCAGGGTCGGTAGCTGCCCCTCAGCCGCCCGAGTGGGTCCGGCGCGCCGCCTCGCCGGCAAACAGCAGACCAACGCGAGGCCCCGCCCGCCCGCGCGCCGCCGCGTGTCCCCGCCCGCTCGGTCGGTCGGAGCGCGGCTCGCGGCGCGGCGGCGGCTCGGCACGGCGGCGGCCGAGCGCAGGCGGGCGGGCGCAGCAGCGGACGGCGCCGAGGCCGCCCCAGGCGCGGGGCTCGCTGCGGCTGAGCGCGCCGGACTCGTCGGGGCCCGCGGCCGTCCGCGCCTTTCAATGGGCAGCTCGCACTTGCTCAACAAGGGCCTGCCTCTCGGTAAGGCCGCGCGCGCGCATTTCCGGCCGCGGGCGGGGGCGGGGCGGGCCGGGCGCGCGCGGACGCCGGCTTTGTGTGCGAGTGCGCGTGCGCGCCGGCGCGGGCGGGCCTAGCGGCGTGCGCATGCGTGGCTGCTGCGTGTGAGTGCGCGTGCGCGTGCGCATGCCGTCCCCGCCCGCCGCGGCCGGCGCGGGTGACAAAGGGGCCCGCGGGCCGCACAGGCCGCCGCCACCCCGCGGTCCCGGCCCCGCGCAGTCGCTCCGGCCTTTTTCCGGGAGCGGGGGCGCAAGTCCGGAGGTGGGCCTGTCGTGGGGGCGCCGCGAGGCCCGCGGCGACCTGCGGGGGGGCAGGGCCTGCGGCCTCGCCGGAGTTGGTCTGCAGAAGTCGCGGGATCCCGAGGCCCGCCGCTGGGCGTGCAGCCTCCCCATGCCGCGGCGCCCCCAGCTCTTGTCCACGGGCCCCTCCGCAGTGCTCGCGGGAGCGGCAGGGCGGCGTCCGCAGATCCGGGCCGGTCGGAGGCTGGGCTGCCCCTGGCGGGCGCGCGCCGCCGGGCCGGGACCCGTGCCGAGGAGGCTCCCCGCCACTGGGTAGCGCAGAGAGGCCTTCTAGGAAGGAAACGGGTGCCCTCCATGGTCAGGAAGGTGAGCCCGAGATCGGTCGTACTGGGGGCCAGCCTTCCCCCGCAGGGCCCACACGCTGGATGTTTACCTTCCCAGTCCCTCTTCTCTTCCTCATTTGTGCTCAAAGAGCACGTGTTCGTCAGAAACAAGAAGGCAAAGGATGCCCATCCGCGGTGGGGTGGTCAGGGCCAGGCCCACTGCTCACCACCTTCTGCTCCTGAGTAGGGTCGTGGTGCAGCATGCTCCTTAGAGGAGTGGCTACAGCCAGCAAGAGCACTGGCCCAGGCCCGCCCTTGACCAGTGTGTGTGGTCTCCCAGTTAGTTTTCTGCGACGCCATCTGCAACACGGGGTAGCGCTGGGCTCTATAACTGTGCTTGCGGTTGTTATTTAGCATGGCAGCTGGGTTTGGGGGCCACCCTTTCTCTGACCTGGAAGTCTGTTAGAGATGGCCTTGCAGTGGATATTGTGTTCTCCAGGGTGACATGGACCAGGGCCTGTGGATTCCTGCTGGGACTTGAGGGTCCTGTCCTGGCTGTCATCTGCAGGCTTGCAGTGGGTCTCAGCTGGGTTTGTCTCTAAGGGATGAGCTTGTCTTGACTTGTCAGCGCTGCAGCCATCTTTCTTTTCTGTGGTTTAATCATCTTTGAGCATGTGCTATACCTCTGGGGTGCTCTGTAAGGCTTTGTGGGGGATGTGCACTGGGCTTCATCTGGTTCCCTGGGTGCCCCCATCCTCTGCCTAGCTGCCCAGCCTCCTCTGGGAATGGCTCAAGGCCCAACCTGAGATCTTGCCCTATTTAGCCATAGGAGGTGGCTCTTCAGTTCCTGATTGCTGTGAGATGGGACGGTCATATCTGGCCCCTGAAGCAGGGACTTTCTCTTTAGCTTGAGGTCAGCATTGGGGCCTGGGAGGTTTGGCTAGAGTTCATGGACTGAGGGCCTGGTGAGTGTTAGGGCTGGGACCCCTTCTATTTTTTCTGGGGTTGGTGCTGCCACTTTTTGGACAATCTGTCAGATTGTCACTTGGCACAAGGTCAGCGAGTCTGCTGGAGGAGTGCAGATGGCAGGAGACCATCTCATCAAACGTGGGCACCAGGCTCTCAGCTTTCTGAGATGGGACCCCTGGCCTCCTGCCCCCTTCACCCCAGCTAGCAATTCTGCTGTTTGTCACCTGCCCTTTGAGCTTCGTGTGTGGCACACCTGAAGGTCTGAGATGTGGAGCCAATGCCTTGCAGTTCTGGGAGGCACCTGTTGGGCAGCACTGAGTGCTGCTGAAACCCCTGTGGAGGTCAAGCCCATTCCCACTGTGACCTGGTATCTCCATGGCTCCTTGGCACAGAGTGCTCCAGCTGGTGATTGTATGTACCAAGGTCATCGCCTCCTGGTGATACCTTTTACAGATGCTTATTGTATCCATCCCCCAGCTAGGGGTGGGAGACAGGACTTGGCTTGGGCGGTGCCGGGCAGGGGGCCCAGGCCCAGTCCTCTGCTTTGTAGGGAGGTCTGGCTCCCAGCCCTACGTGGCCAGGACAGGAGGGGAATAGCAGTTTATGGCCAGCTGGTTTTGATTTCAGCCCTGTCACCTGTGTGTGTGGCCTGCCAGCATCCCCTTGGTATCTTACGGTCACTGGGCTGGTCCTGGCAGTTATAGATGTGAGTTCTGTGAGGTGTGGATGTGTCTGGCCTGGGTCCCTGCAGTCTCCAGCATCCCTATAGTCACCCTCTTGTCC